TATATATATATATATATATATATATATAGTTGGGTTCACATGAGAATGTTAATGAAAAAAATGAGAATAAATAATAGCCATTAGATCAGATGATCAAATGGCTAAAAAAATTAAAATTATACCTTAAGGGTATAGAAATAATTTTGCATATCACACTTAAAGAGGTGGGTTCCTTCCTAATAATACACCTGCCAACTAACCCACTCACCTACCACATTAATACATTAATTCATGATTTGCCCAACTCACCCACCCATCAGCCACCTCACCCCCATTCTCTCTCTCTCTCTCTCTCTCTCTCTCTCTCTCTCTCTCTCTCTCTCTCTCTCTCTCTTTCTCTCTCTCTCTCTCTCCCCCACACACACACACATAAATCACACTACACACACAACAACACGCCAGCGGCCCGACCTCCACCCTGTCTCCGCCCACATCGCCGCCCGACCTCCACCCTGTCTCCGTCCACATCGCCGCCAAACCTCCACCTGTCTCCGCCCACATCGCCGCCGTTTGCAACTCCCTCTGACGGATCCCAGTTTCTCCGGCAACCGCTGTCTGTGCGCGTGTGTTACGTTATAGTGCACACCCGCTGGAGAAGGCCACAATGGCCCTCTCCATTGATTCGGTCCTTTCGCCGGAACCGTTGTGCAGGAGATGAGGTTGTTGATGACGAGCCAGCCATGACAAACTGGAGCCATATTTGTGTGACTAGAGAAGATGGTGGTGAAGACCGGTGGGAAGAGCTTTTCGCCAGAGTTCAGTTGCTGAATTCAGGGGCTATGGTCAAGTGAAAATTGGGGGTTATGTCTGTGAAAATTAGATGTTGTTTGTTAATATTACACTGTGGTACATAGGCCAAACCTATAATTTAGAAAGAGTTATAGAAAAAAAAAATATTATTTGTATATATTTTTTTATACATAAATATTAAATAATTTTATTTAATAAAAATTATTAACCAAACTGCTCCTGTGTGTGGAGCCAAAAAAAAAATACTATTAAAATATTTATTTAACAATATTTATTAGTAATATTTATTATTAATATTTATTAAATATATACAAAGAAATATATTTAATAATATTTATTATTAAAAATTGTTATCATCCGACTCGGTAAAGCACAATTAAGGACCTTGAACAGCACCATAAGCAAAATTTGACTCAAACACCAACGTAATAAAGTCATCCCGGTTCGCACAATAAAACCGGTACGACCAAAGAAGACCGAAGTGACCCTTATCCCATTCCGAACCGAGGTCATTCCGAACCGAGGTCATTCTGAACCGAGGTCATTTCGAACTGGGGTCATTCCTAAAGCAGGTGACAAGGCGCCTACACGCCCCCGTCACAATCTACGAGATTTGTCATCATTCGCGTAGGGCCCACTGGTTCAACCGCCCATCTAAAGTAGCTTTTTCTAACAAACAATGCACGGATCCCGATGTATGCATAAAAAAGAATACTATAAATAGCCAACTAGTGATATTTGTACGGGATCCGATTCCAGACCCAAAAAATTGGAGATTCACAATGCAACACGTAACAGCCCATAAAGGCTTTTCACCTCGGACCGGGGCCATTGTTGAGTTTTCCTTACATGATTTACATCCAAACCACTCGTAATTATCATATAAATCCCTTATCAAATCGTCATTAAGAATCATACGACAACAGTTTGGCGCTAGAGGAAGGGCCTCATAAGTGATTTGAGGTTACTTTCTGACTCGTGTTTAAGCGATCCACATCAGCTACACAAATCATGTCTCATTCTGATAATCATGACCATACTTCACGCGATGGCCACAGTCGCAACGCCGCGCAATCCGCCCGACGACCAGTTGTAGCCCCCCATGTACCGGATTACGCTGTTTTATTCCAAAATCCAGAGTTTGCACGTGGATTTGCTACCTTGATGGCTCAAACGATCCATGGAGCGTGAACGACTGCCCCGGGACATTCCATAATACCCACAACACCTGCAAATCCGCAGAATCCACCGGCACGACAAGACGGCAGAAGGACAACATCTCACGCCACGTCTCAACCCCGCAGTCGAGCGTCACAGCCGCCTCCGAAACAAACCACACGTCGCACCGACGTTGGACGCAATCTCCTTGCATTTCCTCATGAAGAAACCACCGAAAGCCAGTCTGGTCATTCACGATGATCACCGCCTCATGCGCGGCACCAAATCCCTTCCAACCCGGCGCAGACCGACCTTCGGCAACACATTGAACGAAATCGGGCTCGTCAAGAGTCATCCGAACTTGAAACATTACGAAGAAGAATTGCCGAACTGGAAAGTCGAAGCACCTGAAAACCCCCCTCGGTGGGCCTCTATTTCGGCGAAGTATATCTGGAAGCCGACTCCCCTCTCACACCGGAGCTTACGTCGGAACCCGTACCTGGGAAAGTTAAAGTCCCTCAAATTGGGCTATAAGATGGAACATCGGACCCCGATTCACACCTCGGTCATTATACTTCGTGGATGGATCTGCATGGGGCCTCGAACGCACTCCAGTGTCGTATGTTTTCTCTCACACTGGGGCCTCGAGCCCAAAAATGGTACCATTCTCTTCCCCCTCACTCTATTTGGAAGTGGCAACAATTGAGGTCGGCTTTCCGATCACATTTCATCGGGGCCCAAGTCTGCCTAATTCCAAAAGAATCTCTTGCAAATGTAACCCAAAAAGATGATAAAAGTGTCAAGGACTATATCGCCCGATTTAATGACCGAGTCCAGAATATGGAGCCTTGTCATCCTGAAACCCTGCTTGTCATGGCTATTGCCGGGTTGAAACCGAACACAATTTTCTGTTGGACGTTGTGTCAAAATAAACCCAACACCTTTCAAGAATTTCTTGCTCGAGCTCAGCAGCACATCATAGCCGAGGAAGCCATGTCGGTCCCCGACTTTAATTTTAACCCGAAGTCATCCAAGGCGGGAACCGACGAGAAGAAGAAAAATAAGTTTTTTGAAAAGCAGAACAAGACTCAGTTCGGAGGGCCTCCTCGGGGAGATCCCAACGATCCTGAAGTACGAGCAGCCCGAAAACAGTATGCCACCGATGTAAAATCTGGTTATCAGACTGTATATTCAACTGGGGCTGCCACCATATACGAAGAAATCAAAGGGAATGGCATTTTACCGGACCCCAAGCCACTTCGGATGCCCGAAGAAAAGTTGGACAAATCCTGATATTGCGATTATCACAAATCGCCAGGACACAATACTGACGAGTGCTTAAGCCTATTAGCTGCTTTGTTGCGCTTAATCGGTCATCCACAGCTCAGAAAGTTCAATCGTAACACCGATCCTCAGAAACGGGGCCCGGGGCGTCCAATGGAATCTTATGATGATGACGACGATGAGGACCGAGGTACCATACCAAAGCGTATCTAGCAAGGAGACAAAGAAATATTCATGTTCACTTCAGAAATGCCCAATTCTAATTCAACTGGAACCTCCCGAAGACACAAGCGAAGCAGATCTCCCAGCCCGATGCAAATAACTGTCCACCGCGTCAATACCAACAACACTCGGAGTACATTATCCCGACGACAAGTCAAAGCTTATGCCCGACAAGCTTACAACTCCAGTAAACGAGTGTACACAACCGATCTAAGAGATATCCCCAATAACAGGAATTGTCCCATAACTTTTAATATGGAGGATGAAAATCATTTCTCACACCCTCATTCAGACGCACTTGTTATTACTGTTCCTATATGCGGAATCCTTGTGCATCGCGTAATGGTCGACACTGGGGCCTACTCAAGCATTTTAATGTTAAAAGCCTTTGACAAAATCGGTCTCGATCCTGCTGACATCCGACCCTGTAACGACCAAATACAGGGATTTAATGGCAGCATTTCAAAGCCCATCGACGACATCACTTTACCTGTCAGATTTGGCACTTCGGAGAACGTCTCCAAACTCGTTATGGAAACTTTCAAAATTCTTGACATCAATAACGAGTATAATGCCATCATCGGCAGAACAGAGTTGTACAAACTTCAAGCTGCGGTCTCGATCTTTCATTATGCCCTAAAGTTCCCGACTACAGGAGGAGAAGGAACTCATTTCGGAGATCAAAGAGAAGCTCGAGAACTTGTCACTTTCGTACCATCCAGCGGAGTCTATTCCATCACTTCGGGAAATGACGACAGTTCCTCACAACGAAACATCTCGGATAATGTAATTTCCGAGGAACCGAGTTACAACACCGTTGTTCCTCCTACCTCGGATCCTTTATCTGAAGACCGAGGTAGGCGGCCAGGAAAGGAGCCACTCCTCGAAGAAGACGAGTTGGACCGAAGGGCCCAATTCAAGGAAAAAAGCCGAAATGATCGAGCCGAACCTGGAGAAGAAGTAGAATTGATAAACGTCGATGAACCGATCTTCCATAAATCATTGCGTATTGGAAGTCACCTTCAGGAGCCTCTCCGGTCAGAACTCATTCCGTTTTTCAAACAAAATTCAGACGTGTTTGCTTGGAAACATGAAGACATGAAGGGTATCGACCCCGGTGTCGCTAGTCACAAATTGAACCTCGACCGAACTGTTCGACCTACTGTTCAAAAACGAAGGAAATTGGGGCCGGATCGTCAGAAAGCATTGGAAGAAGAAGTTAAGAAACTCATTGACAACAAGTTTATTAAAGAGGCCAAATATCCGACATGGGTCTCAAACCCTGTTCTCGTCAAAAAGAGCAATGGCCTGTGGAGACTGTGTATTGATTTTTTCAACTTGAACAAGGCATGTCCGAAAGACAGTTATCCTCTCCCACATATAGATTATATGGTTGACGCCACGTCAGGACACGAATTGATGAGTTTTATGGATGCTTACTCCAGTTATAATCAGATTCCTATGGATCCTGAAGATTCCGAACACACCTCGTTCTATTCAGCACGAGGCTTGTACTGCTATACCATGATGCCGTTTGGATTGAAAAACGCCGGAGCCACTTATCAACGCCTTGTCAACAAAATGTTTGCTACGATGATTGGTCATACCATGGAAGTTTATGTTGACGACATGCTCGTCAAGTCGGTACACGCTTCTGACCATATAACACACCTTCAAGTCATGTTTGATATCCTCCGGTCTTATTCCATGGTTTTAAATCCCAAGAAATGCACCTTCGGAGTTGAGTCTGGGAAATTCCTGGGCTATATGGTTAGCCAACGAGGAATTGAGGCCAACCCGGCCAAAATAAAAGTCATCCAAGATCTAACTCCCCCGACTTCGGTTAAAGGTGTCCAAGCCCTAACTGGCCGACTTGATGCGCTCAACCGATTCATCTCCAAATCCACGGATCGTTGCAAACCTTTTTTCGAAGCAATCAAAAAAGAAAAGCACTTCAAATGGACCGAGGAATGTCAGAAGGCTCTCATCAGCATCAAGGAGACACTCGCCTCTCTGCCGACATTACAAAAACTGAGACCCGAGGAAATGTTGTTTTTGTACCTCGGAGTCAGTGATTCTGCGATCAGCGCTGTTTTAATACGTGAAGAAAGAATGCTACAATCACCCGTTTATTACATCAGTAAAGCCCTACATGATGCCGAACTGCGCTACCCTCCTATGGAAAAGTTGGCGTTTGCACTTGTAATCGCCGCCCGGAAATTGCAACCTTATTTCCAAGAACATTCTATAATGGTACGCACTTCGTATCCATTGCGACAAGTTCTGCACCGACCTGACACCTCGGGACACATGATAAAATGGGCTATCGAGCTCGGACAATTCGACATCCATTATCAACCGAGGACCGCGATCAAGGCACAAGCCTTATCCGACTTCATTGCCGAATTTATCCAGCTATAACAGTTCATGACGACAATCAGCCGTGGGTTCTTTATATCGACGGTTCCTCGACAGCCAACCGAGCAGGTGCAGGAATAGTCCTGGCAAACCCAGAAAATTGATTGTTTTGCCATTCTGTAAAATTCCTCTTTCCTGCAACCAACAATGAAGCCGAATATGAAGCCTTACTATCTGGATTGGATTTGGCCGGATCTATGAACGTGAAACAATTGAAGGTCTTTTCAGACTCTCAGCTCCTCGTCAACCAAATTAATGGCTCATACGAAGTCAAAGAACCTCGGTTAACCCTATATCTAGCTTTGGCAAAAAAGAAATTATCCAAGTTTGCTGCCGAGGTAGAGCATATTCCACGAACCCTTAATGTCCAAGCAGACGCTCTATCTAGATTAGCCTCAAGTACCGGGATGGAGAGCATGGAGTATGTCCAAGTCGGACAGCAGGAGCAACCATCAACCTGTCTTTCTGAGGTCGCCGTTTTAGACCCCGCAACGTCGCAACACTCTCCGACTTGGATGGATCGGTATTTAGAAACTGGAGTCTTACCTTCAAACCCAAAAGAAGCCCGGGCACTTCGGATCCGAGCAGCACGATATACACTGGACAACAGAATTTTATTCAAAAGAGGGTACTCCATCCCGCTTTTAAGATGCGTGAATGAATCTGATTCACGGTATATTCTCGAAGAAGTCCATGAAGGAATTTATGGAAGTCACCCTGGTGCACAGGCCTTGTCCTACAAAGTCTTGCGACAGGGTTATTACTGGCCGACCTTAAAAACCGATGCCGCCGCATGGGTTCGCAAATGCCCGAAATGCCAAATATTCGCGCCCAACATTCATCAATCTCCCGAGGAGCTCAAATCAATCTACAGTCCATGGCCTTTCGCCCAATGGGGAATCGATCTCATAGGTCCCCCGCCAACCGGGAAAGGAGGCATTCGATTTGCCATCGTAGCAGTTGATTACTTCACTAAGTGGGCCGAAGCCGAACCATTAGCCACAATAACTGAACAGAAAGTCATTGACTTTGTGTGGAAATCAATCATCTGCCACTTTGGAGTATCGAACTCCATCATTACCGACAATGGTAGACAGTTCGAAGGCAAACGACTTGAATCCCTGTGCGAAGAATACAACATCAAGCACTTCTTCTCCTCACCTTATCACCCACAATACAACGGTCAAGTTGAAGCTGTGAACAAGCTCATAAAAAATGGCCTCAAAGTCCGACTTGACGCTGCCAAAGGAGCTTGGCCTGAAGAATTGCCACACATTTTTATGGGCATATCGGACAACTACTCGAACTTCCACCGGCGAGACCCCGTTCTCACTCACTTACGGATCAGAAGCTGTAGTCCCAGAGTAACTCGGTGAACCCACTTACCGAATTCAACATTTTACCGAAGAGTCCAACTCGGATAACCTAAAAGCAAGTCTGGACTTACTTGTAGAACATCGTATCCGTGCCGAGCTCAAAAATATAGCCTATAAACATCAAAGTGAAAGATATGTTAACTCCAAATTCAAGCCGCGTACATTCCGAGTTGGAGATCTAGTTCTCAAATGCGTGATGGGGGCAGACCCCGGCCCACTCAAACCGAGGTGGGAAGGACCCTTTCAAATTGTTGAAGTCCTACCTCATGGAGCCTACCGAATTGCTCACCCTGATGGAAATCCACATCAATATCCGTGGAATGCTGTCTTCCTGAAGAAGTTCTATCAATAAATGGTCCGAAGTCGGATGTCCGACTCTTCTTTTGGACGGACCTTCCTTTTGCTTCACTGTATGCACGAAGTGACTCTTTTGATGTACTGAAAGTTTACCGACTCTCACCTTTTGAAAATTCGAGGCACTGCTCGGTACCGATGTAAAACATTTTGAAACTCGGTTCTATAAACATGTTGTACCGATGTAAGCATTGCGACACTTGGTCTTGTTGATACCCCGAAATCTATCCAAATCCTACGCACGTTTTGGTTGGGGATTGAAGCTCGTCAAACGTCATTTCAACAAACGTGATTTGACGGGTCCCGAAAATTACCGAATACCAAAGATATAAATCGGTTGGGACCATTCCATAATCGAACTCTGACGAAGTTCGGTGAACTCTACTTTGTTTTACGCACAGACCGAAAATGCATTAAGTGTAGCGAATTCTTAGTAAGTTCGCATACCGACTTACGCTAGTGGCTGAAAATATCAAAAAAGATTAGAGCGGAACTCGGAAATTATACTTATAAAAACCCACAACTTGGTTAATGATATAATTAGATCCAAGTTGGGGAAATTCATTTTAAAATCCGCACCAAGTTCAGAACACTTGGTCGAAAAATTGCTGAAATTTGTACAGCAAACATAAATCAAGACATTATGCAAACACATCATATATATATATATCGTAACAATGTCTGAAAAACCCTTACATATTTCCTACTAAGGGAATCAGCTACCTGATATCCCCGATTACATATTCATATATGTCCTACTAAGGATGCCAACATGCTGGCACCCCGATGTCTTATTTCAGAATTAATAGTGCAGTAATATATAATACTTCCAGACTTCAAGCCGCGTAGGTTGTCTTCTCCACATTGTCGCCCGAACCACTGCCTTCCCCAATTTCGGTCCTTGAAGATAATCGCTCCAAGACCTCCGTTTTCTTTGCTTTGGCAGCAGTCTCAATGGCTCCATCTGACACCGGAACAAACTCATCGCGGGGATCCGGTACTTTATCTGATTCACCCTCGGCCGGCGTGACAACCTTGACGACTTCAACTTCCTTGTCGGTCGACTTAGCCTTTTTTTCAATGTATGCCTTAACCCTGCTCTGAATCTGCTCCGGGGTCATATCGTCAAAAAGTTGTTCGACCTCTACATCGACGAGAGTTGAGAGATACACATCGGCAAGCTCCTTCCTTTTCTCCTTCTCTCCCTCCAAAATCATATTAACATAAGCACGTCGGAGGAGAGCAGCTCTATCCTCGGAAAGTGGTGGCAATTCGGGGTTTGCATTCACATCTTCAGATCGGCGGAGCATCCAAACACAAAATTCCCGTTCATCCTCGTCGGCCTCCACGTGCATTCCCTTTATCTCGGTGTCAAAGCCGTACTTTGCGAGCTTGCGAAATAAGAACAAACGGATATCGTCGATATCGTAATAACCCGCATCATAACGCTCGATGACCCATCGGATATTCAGACAAGTGTTCATTTCAATTTCGAGGTCAGGCCCACCGACTTCATCATCCTCACCAGCATCAACGACTTCCACGTCGGCATCATCCCCAGACTTCGGTTACGTAACTGCAACCGTTTCTTTCCCAGCTTGGAAGCCGATCTCATACATGGTTTCCCCGTAAGATGATTTTTCTTTTTCAAGCTTTGCCATCTCGTCTTGATGGGCGTCCCTCTGCCGACCCACAAGCTCGCGGACCTCGGCACACTCTTTACGAGTTGCCTCATGCCCGGACTTCTCATCTGATAACGCCTTCTCCGTCTCGTCAAACTTGGCCTCTAAAGCCGTGGAGTGTTGCTCGGCAAAGGCAAGGCGCGCCCTAAGATCAGCCACCTCGGTCTCCAAAGCCTTTTTCTCCTCGGACAACGCCGAGACTTCAGCCTGCGCCACTTCCAACTGTGCAACTTGTTCAGAGATTTTGCCTTTCAAGTCGGCCTCCACCTCAACCGACTACTCCTTCAACGAGGCGATCATGGCATCTCGAGCGGCAATGGTGTCCTTTTTTCCATCCAACTGAGTCGCGATCCGGCTATGATCATCTTCAGCAGCAATGAGACTGACTAAAGCTCGGCCCAAACACGCCTTAGCATAGCTCATCTTATCAACGCTTGACAGGGAAGAAACTCCCACTTTGGACTTCGGGTCCCATACCATCAAGGGCACCCTTGCTGCACTTTTTGCATTCTCCGGCATATCAATTCTCGAAGACATGTAGGAGACTTCGCAGATTGAAACGTGGTGAACCACTCCTCCACGACACCCTTGGGCACCTTCACCTTGGCAGCCCTCTCTTCATCAATTGATAAGAAGGATTTTTCGAACAGAGGCGCCTCATCAATCCTCCTTTCACCAGACCTGCGACTGGAGTCGTGCTTCTTCTTTGACCTCTTCTCTGCTCCAGAAGAGGCCCCCAAATTGGACATTTTCACCAGTTTCCTCTTTCTCCTTCTCTCCAGCTGAGTGGACTCCACCGACCTCGAAGGAGATGGTAGTTTCTCTGGTTCATCTTTACGTGCTTCGAAGTGCGGTGGCTCAACTACAGCCACCTCGGTTCCCACCACATTGGGCTCAGGCTCCGCTTGATTGATCGCAGCCGCATTCACAACTGGCGGCACCTCGGTAGTTGTCACCTCTTTCAGAGACTTCGGGCTCTCCGGAACAGCAGCCGAGGTCGCACTCGACCCCACCTCGGTCGATTTTTTGTTGGCATTCTTCTGACTAGCTGTCCTCTTCACCAAAGCACGAACTAGATCCCTCCTCATGGCGTTAGTCAGTCGCAGATCTCGGCTTTTACCAAATTTGGATTGCAGATCCCTATTCGGATACTTGCGCCTGAAATCCTTAGCTTCCTGAACAGAGCAGTAACCCAAAAATCCGAGGAGCGGATAGTATACTACATTAAACAAATAATAAATGAATCAAAGTTATAGTCAGCTGCCTTACATATAATGCAGTACGGATGAAGATACTAAAGTATTCTACTCACCGGGGTCAAATTTCAAGCTAGAAACTCCAGGAGACAGACCGGCAGCTTTGAGTTTCAGATCTACAACTAGTGTGCGATAATCTCGTACCTCCTTGTCCAAGCCAGCAAGTG